CATCGTATTTTTTTTTCACCGTAACAACAACAAATATAAAAGTGCAATTCAGCGCGCTCACCTCCAGTCATTCGGTCGTCAGACAGTGGTACTGAAGGAAGACTGCCAGAATAGTCGAACCCCATTTCCGTCCGTGCATTTCGCTATGGTTATTCTTTGATGACTATAATTTTTCACATTATTACTTGAATATATATTGTTTTTAATATTTTTTATGTGGGTGCATAGTCAACATTTTTTATAGTAGCGTTGATCAATGTCGTTTGAAACAGTTCTGTTGCAAAAGTTTAGAGAAGCCGTCATTCAGCGTTGGATGGACGAAGGCTGATGATAGTTGTGCTTCTTCATCACGATGATGTTTAAACGGGTAACTCCTCACAGGTATATTATAAAAACAGGCTTTGCGCAGTCTTTTTTTAAACGGGGGGGGGGGTCGTTTCACGGCATGTGTACTGGTATATGCAGAACCGCAATAATATTTTTTTCGTATGTAAATGTAAATGATGTTTCTTTAAACTAAGAAAGGTTGTCAGGTTGTTCAACGGTGATTCAGATCGTCGACAGCCTTAGTGCCTGCGGTCTGTTGATTTCTTTTTGAACCTGACTGGGTAGGTCCATTCCCAACGCAGTGATTTGTACAATCTCCGAGACTGTGAGTGGGTCACTAGATCTGTGATTTGGTAGTATGATGTCATCTGCGTACAGAACAACGTACAATATGACGAGTATTCATAATCATTTATGTCTTTCCTCACTGAAGTCATGCAAGTGTATGTGTTCATGTGCAGTCATATAATTAGTATGATTTAAAGGAAACAAGGCATTCAGCCATAGTTCAGAACCCAGCACTTGCTGTTAAGTGTAAGTGGCGAACAGTCAGATCTGTTGCTCAGCCTTGTAACAGTTGACTGTACTCCTTCGTAGGATAGACAGTATTTTGACCAGAACTGGAGAAGCTGTTGCGCGTACAGAAACGGATTGCTGCGTACCTCGGCTATTGGAATTTCGGTTCTCTGCACACCAATATAGTGGGCATTCATTATTGCGTCCCTAGCTTTTATAGCTTGCGATGCAATGGTACAGGTGCATAACTCCTCCAAAACAAAGTTTCACTGTATATTGCTTTAGTTTCCTTTTAAATGATGCATTTAATCAGGCCACTTCATGGTAGTTGAGCATCTGCAATGTTAGATGCATCTTGAATCATTTTATTCTCTACGGACACCTCACGCTTTTTCCGAACGATGTCTCAGGATACTCTGTATATGCTACTAAGTAAATATCAAGATACACCGTGAAATCTGGTCTTTCAGGAATTATGCGTGATTTAACGTACTACGGCGTACGAACATATGTTGATGTTTATAGGATTACATGCTCTCTGTTTGTATGATTATACACTTAACATCATTGTGGTCTAAAGTATGATGATAAGCATCGTTCCTGTATATGAAACTGTCGATTTCTCACCACTGGTGAACTGAGACTCAAGTTAATGAGTACTTTCCCCATGAAAGATAAGCATTAAAGTGCCTATTGCGTTTTCCAAACACCGGCACGTACTGGCTCCAAATTAAGGCAATCCTCGAAAATGGCGTCAGAAATAGAATCATGCAAACATCAGAATACGTTCTTACGCCGGAGTATGTTACTTGAGGCTTAACTCTTCCAAGTTAAGATTTCAAGTATATCTTCATGAGGAAAGGTACTTGAGTTCACCAGTTGGTGACGGACGAATCGGTTCTTTTATTTGTATGGACGATTTTTATCTTAATGGTGTAGGTCATTACGACGTTAAGCGCAAAATGACAGATAACGCAATATTGATGGTTGCCACTTCTA